AAATGAGAGGGCGAGTTAGTGCTCAGTCTCATGGAGGAATCTCCTAGATGGCAGGGCTTGCGTGGCTTATGTGGCCGCTGCCTGATGAGCTGCAGCTGTGACCGATCAGCCTGTGATGAGGACGGCCAGGTGTGCCTTGCTTGTTTCCAGGGCGACGCTGATGAAGCTTCGGGACGCTCGTCACAATATATAATTAGGTTAAAAACATTTGACTTCGAATAATAATACATATAAAATTCTAATTTAATTATGTCAACATGGATTTTAAGTATCCGTTCCTGTCGTGAGGTTAAGTCATGTTTCAACATAGGCTAAATGAAGAGTCAATGGTTGTTTTTATTTCACCTCTAGAGTCTGTGTGTTCATTTTAGAATACTTGCAAATGTTGTTATCTATGCCAATAAATAGCAATAAACAATAAAAAAGATTGCTTATAGTCTTGGATGAGGTTCAAACCAATATACCGTATAGCAAATTTGGTGTAGGTGGTTGCCCCTTTTTGTGCCAGTCTGTTGAAATTAACACATTATTGTCAACATAATAAGTTGATTAACATGCTTGCAATGCAGTGTTTGGTTAAATGATTCATGTAATTAAAGGAAATCTGATGTTTGATTACTTAAACAGCATGTAAGTTGCTGGTTTGCTCATGTTATGTTATGTTCTGAATGTCAAGAAACAAGGTGTCATAAGATTCACACTTCCCATTAGAGCGAAGTCTTTCCAGGGGTTTATTTTAAAGCACTGCCGCATCCTAGGGCAGTGTTTCAGAACGAAGGCTTTTCTCTCTGACTCCTCCGGTCGGTCTGTTAATTGCCCCATGCCTGCTCAACACTCAAGTTTTGGCACCGACAAGCTGTCTGTCTGGCTGTCTTTGCGTTAAACACATTTTGTGTTTCCAGAACATTGGATGTCTCATCATCAGTGCCCTACTTAGTCACTGAGCATTGAATGCAGTCTCTATGGGGCAAGACGCCCACCTAAGGAGCTTTTGTTCGGTTTTGAGGACTGTTGCAGATCTTGCACACCAACCTTGGCCTGCATTCTGAACTACCTTTTGATGCTGAGCAAAGAAAATGGCTCAGTGTTTGCTAGAACCAGCACGGAATAGTGATGGTGGTCTGTTCAGGCAGTTAGAGGCATCCTTAAGTGGAGTGTGTGACATATGTTTCAGAATATTGGTGGCACTGGTTTATCCTGTTTTGTAGGGAAAACAAGACACAAACTGAATGAGTGCAATCCAGCGTGAGTAAAATTAAGAAATAATATGTAAGTATATGACTCTTTGCATCAAAAACGATTATTTTAATGGCTTTGCCATAACAATAAATGCTAACATATTAAAATGGCGTTATACACTAAATTGGAACATTTAATTTTATACATTATGTAACCTGTTCCATCATATCTGTCCACCAAGGTCTAAAAGGCTTGACAACCCAAATCCAGATTATTTCTGTCTGTATTATTATATTATCAGTAATAAATCAGTAACAACTGTATTGTTACTAAATAATTTTGTGGTCATCTTCCTAATAGTCATGTTCTTTATCATGTTTCTTATAAGTTTGCTGACATTGACATACTCACGACATTTCTGATGCAAACTAATTGCTTGGAACAAGCTGCGGCCTGAAAATGTAGAAACATATGCAAGTATGCGTACCGTTTCTAACTCAATATGACAGGCTGCATTTCATAAGACAGTACTCAGTTCTAGAAAATTGGAAATTTTTTGATTGGAAATACATTTATAAATTAAGATCTGCTACAAATTTCACTCTATGTACAAATTCTCGTGGCAATTGTATCTATTTCCATCAGTGTGTACCATGCAATTTGAGACGGTACATAAATAGCAAGTATTGCGTTAGATTGTGAACCATCTTCTGTCTTGAAGACACAGCTCTTTATACATGACAGCACCACTTATTCACACACTTGTGGATGGATGATTGAGGTTGTCATGACATATTCAGCCCACTTCACAATGTGGCGGAACAGCTGAAGGCTGGATCACACAAAACCTGAGCCCTCCCTCAGAGTCTATCAGCAGCAAACCACTTCCATAGAAAATGTTTCCGTCTGAGCTGAGTTACTCTTTTCAACCCTTTGCTGTTCTGTCTTGTAATTGGTGCGGCCAAACCTCCTTTGAAGTCTGTTGCGATATAGAGCGAGAAATTGTGACTTCCGAATCCTCGATTCTCTGTTGTGGTGGCTCTGTGCCTTTTAAGCAAAACATCTCAAGGGGTTGTTGCACCAACTTTCCAAATTTGTAGTCATTTAACAGTCTGTTTTTAAAATTAAGGATTCAAATGAGGTGTGAAAAGCCATTGCGGCCTCATTCTGGAAAGGGAAGGACGTTATTAAGTTAATGGATGCCAAACCTTAAGATATTGTTTCACTTCCTCTGATACTGAAGTGACTTTTTGACTTGATGAAATGATTTCCATATGAAAGTTATAGTTTTCTCAATAATTGTGCCATTTACCAAATGCAGCCTAATGAAATTGCTCATTTCCTGTACTGGCAGTGTTTGACTTAAAGAGATCTGTCATTGCTAAAATCATTCTCAACGTACGTCTTTTTATGTTTAATTAGAGGTTAGCTAAAAGTGAAGGGAGGATTGTGGCTTGGCATATTTCCTAACATTGCCTCACTTTGATCAACTATAAAACATAATTACATTGGAAAGAAACATGCTATTTTAGAAAATTACACATCTGACTATCACATGATATGAAAAATGAGATCAAATTTTTCTCTTGCATGGTCACTTTATGTTGGATTGTGGGTAGTGCTAAATGCTAAGGATCGTAGCTGTTTGACTAAAGTAATCACTCCCCTATAAATTTACTCAGAAGGTACTGTAAGATAATTTAAAGCCAAAGTGCGTGATTTCTGTGCCACTTGTGTCACCAGGCAAAATTGTAAAAATTATTGTTTTCAAGTAAGTTTCCAGATAACTTCCCTCATCTACCAGTGTTTGTAAAAACAGATAGTTCCGCCCCAAAGGCACACTACTTGTTGAGTCAATAGCGGATTAACAGAATGCTTTCCCATGTCAAAAATTCATAGTTTTCAGTCAGGTGATTGGCAGGGAGACTTGAAGGGCAAAACATCCTTAAGGCCCGTTCACACAGAACATGTTTTTGCATCTACAACACAAGACACAGCACAGAATGCCTTCTCTTCCATGTTGCCATCAAATAAAACAGTTGCCAGCCAACTTGCTATTGTAAACAAAAGCCTGCAATGACCACCTCCGGTGTCTTCTGATTGGTCCACTGTTTTGTTTTACACTGTATGTAAAAGTTGAAATTATTTTAACTTGACACGGCGTCTTAAAAATGCTCATGTGTGAGACACTGCAAAAGTCATGAGCACAATGGTCAAAAACGCTCGTCTAGTATGTTTACATAGAAAAACAATGGAAAAGTAGCACATTGTCACTGTCTTAAAGGAGACATATTATGCCCCTTTTTACAATATGTAATATAAGTCTCTGGTGTCCCCAGAATGTGTCTGTGAAGTTTTAGCTCAAAATACTCCACAGATCATTTATTATATCGTTTTGAAAATGCCTATTTTGAGTGGAAGCAGAAACACGCTGTTTTTCGGGCCTGTCTCTTTAAATGCAAAAGAGCTGCTGCTCCCCGCCCCCTTTTCCAGAATAGAGCTGTGCCATTATAGCTTGTACCTGCTGAAAAATATCTGTTTTGGTTGTGATTATCATGTTTATCGCGCTGAAATCATGCGTTTTAAACCATATGAGTTTAAACTTCTGATATACGGTTTTCTGAGAGCACACATCCGAACACACGGACAGAAAGCGGCTGTCACAGCATGTGAGTACTAAACTAAGTTCACATTAGCACGTTTAACAAGTTTACGTTAAAAACACACATGAGTTACAAAAACAGTGGGTTATTATGTCTGTGAAGGTAAACAGCTGGGAAATAAATCGCATGTTTATTTTAGATCTGTGTGGCAGCAGCAATATACAGTAAATAAATAAATAAATCACTGCTGTGTTGTCTCCTCTGAGGCTGGGACTCTAAACAGTGTTCTGTGCTCGTCTGTGCAGCCAAAGACAGAACAGTTATCATGTTTTGCTCAAACTTTCACCATGGCATTAGAACTGGTACACC